CAATCCACATCTTGGTTGTTCAGAAATAAAATAAAAGTTACTTCTGTATGTATRTTGGGCAGCAAAGATGTCCAGCAACTGTGCAGCAACCACTGTGTTGAAAAACAGTTCTCARTCATKGCYCYGGCAGAGGAGGGGTCTGACACATARATGTGTTTTCCAACACATTTATTACTATGGGCAAGAAGGTAACTGACCAGAGGGTGAGAGTCTGAAATGCAGGGTTTAAGARAAATAATGTGAAATAGTTTAACCTTACTAAAAGCCAAATAAATTAATAATGACCTTTTTCTTAGCCAGAACCCTACAGGACATCACTCTCTCTCCCCCTCTGGTTGAATTTTCTTATGTGATCAAATATTCTTCTCCTTGCTCTAAATCCCTTGCTGCCAATTTAAAATAGTACGAGACTGAGATTTCTCACCCTTCAAGAAAACACTTTGATTTGTTGAAGGAAGCTAGGAACAGTTAAGGAGATAGGAAAGAAAGTAATATACCTTTCTCTGTGCTGACATCTGCAACTGGGGGATGTGTTGAAAAGTAAATATAATCSGCTTTGAGCAATGCTTTCCCATTCTCTTTCATTCTGGTTCAGTGCTCTGGTTCCCAAAGAACTAAACAATGGAAAGTGAGGTGCAGAAAGGCTGCAGGACCTCAGTGAAGAAGCAGGGGATCGTCTCCTCATGCTGGGGTGGTTGGGTTAATGTTGTTGTTCATTGCAGATTTTTCAAGAGGGCAYTGAGATGAGAAGTGGCAGAATCACTGCCTGTCTGTCTGTTTGTCCAGAGCCAGGGAAGCCAGGCCAGGACACTCACCAGGCGAGACCAGCTGCAGCTGCTGCCAGCAACCAAACCAGCTTCTAGTAAAGCTATGGATGGGCACATCTGGCCCTGAGCCTGTGACAAGGGGTCGGAGCAGTCCCCTGGGGGTGGCAGTGAGGCAAAGGTGGCCTCGATCGCTGCCCAGGCTGCCTGGCTCAGCTGTCTCCTTCCCTGGAGTGTCACCCTCCTGCTTCTCTCTAGAGGGTTATGAGATCAGTTTCATCCTGATTGCATGTATTTTGAAATCTTTTAAAGCTCTAGGAGAGGGGAAATAGTTTCTGGGACAGTGCTGCACAGTGAAAATGTGCCTAAATCTATGAAATATGAAATTTCCGTTTTTTTACTTTTTATCATGGCTCTTTTTTTTTTCCCACTTATTTACTCTTACTTTGCTGTTATTTGCTCTTTGCTCACTTTATGCTTCTGAATATTTCCAAAAGCAGCTGGTAACATCAAGAAGGCATTGTGGAGAGTGGTTTGGTCCATTCCTGTAGTTTATATAAATTTTCCTGGAGGAAGCTTAGGCTGGAGAGCTGCAGCATGGTGCAGCCTTGGAATGACTGTCTGGGACAGCTTCTGCTGACAGATCCCTGAAAATGGTGCAGCATGGATAAGGACCTTGTGTGAGTGGTTGTCACACTGATGAGGTGGAGATGACTCTTGGCAGGGGCCTCCCACTCTGTTTTCCAGGTCAGCACCAGTGGTTTTCCCCAGGAGCTCAGGGGCCAYCAGCTGCTGTGGGGTGGCAATACCCTTCTCTTTTTAATCTGCATTCAAAAGGCTGGAGAGGGACAGCTGAGTGCTAAATGGGAAAGGGATAAGATTGCTGCGGATGGAGTGGTGTGGGGATACCCTGTGGTCTCTCCGAGCATCACCATCCACACAGTGTGTGTGCTCTTTATGCAGACACCTTAGAGCACTTGGGGTGTTTCTAGTGGCTTTTTCACTGCATATTTAGCTTTYTGATGGAAACTTTCAATTGTATTTTAAGTGTCTGTTGTACAGATGGGGGCAGGGATGGGTTAATTTTAATACTTTATGAAAAGATGTCGAAAGCAAGGATGTTCCTGAGCATCTTAGTCCATGATGCTTGACATCTGCCAGGTTTGGCGCATATTTACCAAGGACTGGACCAGGATCCAGGAGCTTTTGGGGGCTCTTGAGATCTGYTGGGATAACAGGGATTTTCAGTGCRTGGAGACAGACGACTTTCAAGAACATTTGTATCTGCTAATCACGCTGTAATAACAGTCTGCAGTCGAGAGGCTGCAAACCCCCCATTTCCAACACAGCTGTGCATATTTAATTCGATAGAAGGCATTGCTAGGCTGCTGTTAGAAGTAATTCAGATCGCTAAGGTGGTAATTTTGATCGTGGTGGTTTTTAGGGAAATATAGGTGTAAGCTACACTGAGAAGTTAATAAATGCCTGGTGTGATACAAACACCAGGGAGTGCAGAGCACTGTGGTGGGTGGCTGCCAGTGCCCCTCCCTGCATCCTGGGCTTGTGTCCCTGCCTTGCTGAGCCAGCAGCAAAGGAAAGCAATATCCTGGCCACATGAGCTCAGTGAAGGAAGTTTTTCCTGAYCTATTGCCTGTAGCACCAATTTTGGGCATTGGGGCAGTCATCCCRTTTGATGGGTCAGCAGCAGTGCTGTGTGGGGAGCACCAGAGCTGCTGGAGCTCTGCAGGGTTGGCTCACCCTGCTCTGGGGGGAYACTTTTGGCTGCTCCCAAGGTTTAAACCATGAAACTGTGATCTTTCAGGAAAAGAAGTTGGGAGGAGTGGGGTTTATTTTTCTTCATCTAACCACAGCTGAGGAAAGCACATGCTTTCAGGGCTTCCAATTCCATTTCTCTCTGCAGAATATGCTTTTGCAAAATTGATAATTTCTGTAGGTTGAGAGAGTCTCAAARGAACTTTTCTGTCAAGCATCCTAAAAGTACCATTATTTCTCTCCCCTGTYGTAACAGCAGCTTGAGATTTACTTTTTAGCTCTCTAAAGATATCTCTCCAGTCTCTTTTTTGTGAAAAACTCCATGATGAATAAAGCAAAAYAATCCCATTTTCAGGTGATTTGTGCTGTAGTGTTTGGCTTGCAGAAACCATGTGGAGTGCTGGTRTTTATCAAGTCTTTAAAAGCCTTTTTGTTTATTTTGTTTTGTTTTGCCACGAGATGTTACTTTTTTTGGAARGTATCTAGAATGATGAAGCAGCTGGTGGCTGAGTCTCCTGCTCAGTGTGCAGAGAATGAAGATTGGCTGGGGTAGCTGGAGTTATTCACTGCATGCTGTGGGCCACGTAAACACCCAAACAGGCAATTCCTGTGAACCAGGAGGTGTGTTTAACTCACAAACCACCAGTAACTGTTCTGTGCACATACTCACCATGACACCTCATGGGAGCCAGCAGMTAGAGATCTCCCCAGCTCTTGTCCATCACTCTGTGGGTGCTGATGGGGCACAGCTCACGTAGGTGAGATGATGATGGCTGTATGAATGCCCTTCTGTGCAAAGGTCAGGAATATTTCTGCTCTGAATTGAGCTGATYCCAGCATTGTGATGCATTTCAGGGAAGTGGTGTTTTCATGGYGAGGAAAGCTGCATCTCCTGCCTTGTGCTGCCTTGGAATAAGCATGTCCCCATGGGAGGCTGCTCCAGAGCTGCCTACGCAGGGATGCTCAAGACAAACAAACTCAGGCAAGAGCTTTCATTAGTAATCAACTTACCTGTTGAAAAAAAGTTGATGTTTCTATATGAAACATGTTTGTGACTCCTTCATTTCACTGTTGCCTAACTCCAAGCATTCAAAAGCAACAGCAGATCTCCCAGAACTGTGAAATAGTTTGAAAGATCTGAAATATGTRYGTGTGTGTRTATATATATACACACATATAATACCAACTTGTTTCTGAGCTGTTACATTAAACCCAAATCATATTCTCATAGCCACGAGGGGCAGAAACTTTTCTCATACTTTCTGAAAAGGATCGTGCAGTATGAGTACAACAGCAAGGGACTGGATTTAATAACCCTGAAGATTTCTTTCTGCTTTGTGTTTCCAAAAGTGGAGATCCTTGTAGARGCTTCACCAGCTGGGTCTCTAGAAGTAAAAATTATGAAGGGTCAGTATACAGTCCCAAGAAGCAATGGCACCATATACGTGTATATTTATTTTCTTAATGTTCTAAGCAGAGACTTGAAATCAGGAGAAAGACAGGGCTCTATTGCACTGCAGGTGATTTTGTTGTTCTTTAGAAGTGTTTTATTCATAGGTTTGGATTTAGTTCTGTTGGCAGGTTGTAGGGTCACTTCTGTGTGTTGGACACAGCACTGAAAAAGCAGGATTTCAGATAGCAGTTTTAGTACAAGATAACTGGACTAAACCCATTAAATACAAAAACAGCTTCATCCTAAGCCTACCATGTGAGAACGAAGAATTTTAACCCAATTTAACCCAAAAGAAGGAGGAAGGGCAGCAGAAGGTGGCCTGCTGGGTCCCGAAGTGTTGGAGATATAAATAGCACAAAATCTGCAGCTATTCCATGTGTTTTATTTCTCTTTAACAATTCTGTGAAACTARCATTTTTTTGCCTTACTCTTAGATGGAGCAAAGCGGGAAGCAGCTTCCCTTTTATCTGTGAATAAACATGCAGCTTTTTCTAGCCTTAGCTCTTAAAATATGGTTATGGTTGTGTAACAGCTTCTGGCTTCCTAGCTCCTTCAGTAGCCAGTGTGCTCTTTCAGGAAATCAAGTCATATCTTCCTTTGAAAAGATCCAAAAAAATATCAGCCTAACCTGCTGGGAAGCAGCAAAAGACTCCAAGTGATTTCTTTTGGGTTTGTCAGCTGACCTTCCTCAGGCCAGATAGCAGGAGTTGTAGTTTCAAGCCCAAATACTTCAGCTTGATCTGAAAGTGCAGGTCGTGCTCACAGTCCTGCTGAAGCGATCAATAAGCTTCTGCCTCTTTTCCTGGGGGCCTTGTGGGGTGGTTTGCTGTCTGTATTTCTTTTATTCAGAGCAGTCCCTTGGCTGTTTATTATCTCTTTAGCCATTCTTGYAGACCTGCAGGCACAGTGTTTTTCAGGTGTGTGTACAGCCACTGCCAAAAGGTAATATTTTTCTATCAGTTCTGTGCCTGCAGTTGCTGAAGCTAAACTTTCCTCTCCTGTTTTTTTAGGGGGAAAAAAAAGACAAAAATGAGGAAAACCAACTTTAGCTTTGGAATACAGCAGGTGAGTCCCTTTAAGGAAGAGAGGAGCAATTTTGATGGCATTTTGTAGAAGTTCCCAATAGCCAAAGAGTTTGTTCTGGAACATGTCAGCTACAGCAGATGTTTTRTGGGTATTTCCAGTGCAAACCACAGTGGTGGTATCTTAGGACATCAGTGTGTGCRTGCTCTCCACTGTCTGCTTGGCCTAAGAAATGCAGATTTATTTTTTTTTCCCCAAGAGGCTCTCAAGGTTTATCATGTTACTGTAAAAGGGCTGGAGGACCAAATCTTTCAAATTCTGCTTGTCAGTGGCAGTCAATGGAAAAGGCAATTGCTGGAATTTGTGCTGCTGGCATTCTTGGGCTGGTGAAAAAACTAGATTACCAGTCATAGAGGGAAAATGATGGCTGGTATTTTCTTCTCTTTTATTTTTCGCCCTGACTTACATGGTTTTTCCCACTTTTGTAGGTATCAGAAGTACTGCTTGCCTTCCAAGAGATTCCCAGGATGTAAGAAATCAAGTGCTGTAAGTGAGTAGCTTTTTCTTTCCATTTTCCTTCGATGAGAAATCGAAGCTTGCCCAAACAGAAGGAGAATCTTTCAATTTTTTTCTTTTAAAGACGCTTCAGGAAATGTTTACAGCAAGTAATCCAGTCTTTTGGAACCAGTTGAGTGCCTTTGGCACCTCTTTGCARCCCACAAAATAAAGTTAGCATTGTATTACCACATAGGCTGAATAATTATCTCTCTACAGATATAAACCACATGAATGCATTTAACTGAGAATATGGTCAGCAGAATGGACCATTAGCACCATCTGAAGCTTGTTTGTTGTTTCCAAGCTTTACCAGCTGTGGAAAGACAGACTCTTGCTGAAGAGTGGAGGCATTCCTTAGAAAGTGAGGTTGCACCTTCTGCAAGAGAAAAAGAGCTGTGAGGTTGCTTTTGTGTGTGTGGACATCCCAGCCCTGTCATCAAAACAGGAATCTGTCCAATATTTGGGTCTTTCCTGATGTGATAAAATAGCTTTGAAGGAAGTTTTATATCACAGGAGATACCTGCACACTTGCTTCAAAGTAGCTTAGCCAGGAGCTTTTTTACATATATTGTTTTTTTAAATTAAAAAAAAAAAACAAACTGAAAATGTATATTTAAAGAGCAGCTGCACTTTGACCTTTTCCTATGGATTGCTAAAGGCTGTGGGCTGGGATTTCCCATCAGCTGTGGCCAGTCTGCAGCTCCCCAGGTGGACCAGTCAGGGCTACTCTAAACAAACCTCAGCAAGTCCTGATTGGAGCCCCTGATTGTGTGCCTGGCACACTGTGGGCTCCCGAGGCAGTCTCTGYTCTGGTGTGAGGCTGGATAACAACTAAAATTTGGATGCTGTTGCTCTGGACTTCATTGCTTTCTGTAAGTAAATTTTACTAGCTGAGGGGTTGAAAGAGGGAATTTTTTTTTAGGTTTTTGTAATCAGCTCAACTCCTGTCCTGTTTTTACAGTGTTTTGTGGTGATGGAAATCTGTGGTTACTTGGACATCAGCAGAGTTTTGTTTCTATTTTTGTTTCAGTGGCTTAAACCTGTTTTCTGTTACAATAACAAAAATCTATTTGGGCTAAAGCAGAATAAAACTCCAAATTGAAATGAGCCTAAAAAAGAAAGGGCTAGTTTTGTTAAAGGAGAGAAACCGAGTCCATCCATGTTTGGTAAAGACATGGTAAAAATTCCCTAATAAATACCTCTAACAAACATTCAGAAACTGGTAAGCAAAAAAAAAAAAAAAAAAATATCCTTCTTTGAGCATTTTGTGAAGGATACTGGCAATGAGTGCAGTTAATGGAGAAAAAAGGGATGTGAAATGATGACAGCATTTTGTATTGATCTCCCTCAGTAAGGTCCATGGTTCATATTCTTCCTTTGAATCACAAATGTTTTCTTCTAACTCCTTGGTGTTTAKGCTGTCACACAAGGCCTGCTAATTGAGCTGTGGGGCTTATTTTTTGTGAGTCACAAAGCATTGCACAGGGTGGGCTCTGGCCTCTGCTTTTTTACAGCTGTGTTGGCTTCAGAAGGATGGGAAGAGTAGAGAGCAATTTAAGTGAAGAAAATTCAGCAGAAAGATGCCACGTGTATATATTGTGTCTCTCAAAGTATATCCACATGCTAGAAAAGCTCTTTGCTCATCTCAAAAACAAAACTTGGGTTTTTTTTTTTTTGTTTGGTAGGCAGTGTTGAAATCTGGGAAGTGTTTTCTCAGGTCCTAATGAATCTACATCCTAATGCACCCCTGTGGTAGTTGGTTCCACAAAGGGGTTGAGCACAGGGACCTGCCCTTGCTCTTCAGAGGATTTGCTGGTCCCAGGTGGATGTTGTCTGTCCTTAAGTCAGAGTTAAAGAGCAGTGCTGATKCAGGTGTGTAATCCCCAGGTGCCTCTGCTGCATCATAGCTGTGTGAGAGGATGAGAGACAAATCCAGGGGAGCCTCCTTGGAAGCTCCCCAGGCCACTGGTGCATGGTCTCAGATGGCTCTGAAATTACTGCAGCAAGATGTAGTCACAGCTCAGCGAGGAAATGAGACTGCAAGCTCCCATTTTCCCTTCTTGACACACTCTGGCTGTGTGACAGGAGCTGGGGAGCATGAGATGGCTGCAGTGGGTCAGTGCTGACTGAGAAACTGTCTCCTGCTCAGCAGCTCCAGAAAACCCAGAGCTAGAAGGCTCTCTCTGCCTTCTTGCAGTGTTGTCCTGCAAAATGTTTCAGGATCAGTAGTTCCATGAGAAAATTGGTGGAGAGAAGGAAAAGAGGCTTCCTTGTAGTTTGCCTTTTTCAGTTTGCCTGCCAGCACCTGCAGGTGACACTTGGCAGTGGCTGTTCCCAGAGGTGCTCGTTCCCTGCAAGGGGTGGCAGTGTGGGTTACAGCAGTGGTTTGGGGTGGCTCTGACTGACACCCTTGCAGAGGGGCCTAGACCAAGAGCTGACACTCTGTGTTATGAGCAGTCAGGGAATGTCATGGTTTGGGAAGCTCCTGCTACTTCCAGTGGCCTTGGGGACGTTTATGAGCAAGCTGAGAGTGGTGTTTGTTTCACCTGTTRGGCTTTAATTCACCATCCCTTKGTAAGGCAGCATCTCTGTCCTGCTWTTWA